TCATATATATTCAATATGATGGTATTACACATATTTTATGTTTTCTTGTAGTTTAGAGCAATGTACATAAGTAAATGATAGATTAATAGATATGTTATGCTGGGAAAATGTGATTAGACATTTAAATTCCGAGTACCTATGTATTTTCTAAGTCCATACCTACTTATAAATAATTTAAAATGTATTGCTTGAAGTGATCATGAAAATAGAATTAAACTGTTTGCGTTTTTTCTCAAGATTATATTTTCAATTTTGATTAAAATTATTTATTATTCATTTATTTGGTTAGTTTAATTTAATGCTAATAAATGCAATACTATGCTAATAAAAGTTCATTCAAATATTTTGCCGTGATGCTTAAGAATTGTACAGTAATTAACCTTATTTTAATTGTTTTTTAAAACTGCTCTTCGGCTTGTCCATGTGATGTATTTGAGTTAATGCTATTTTAATGAATAAGTACCAACATATCTACCACTAAGATGATAATAATTTAATTATCTACCTAAGTATCACTATATATTTACCACATTAGTTCATTAAATATTATGTTTATTAAGTTGTACTTTGATTGGGTATATTATATTTATATATATATGTCATAGTACAAATGACAAAAGTTAATCCTTTCCTTAAATGCATTATATTTTATAGTTAGGGTATTCTGTAAATTTATAATGCTATTTGTTAGTGCCTGCTAGTAGTTTAATAAAAATGCTATAAATCGGGTACCTATAATATAAAAAACAATGATATGTCCTTACGCTTTTTATTTACACTCTTCACAAGTGGGTACCACAACATTTTTAAAAAATCACTATAGATGTGAGTATGTGACGGGGTATGTGACTATATTAAACTGTTGACCTAATTTATGATTAACAACCATCAATATTATTGTTTTAATTTTAACCGAAACAAATAGATAAGATCTCTGTCAACATTGAATATTGACTGGTAGTTGTATTTCAGAACAATATTGTTGTAAAAAATAAGTTATTGATCTTAGGTATAATACATATATTTACAAATCAGCATTCATGACATATTGTTGTTGTATATTCGTAACCTAGGTATACTTGGTAATTATAATTTTAATTATAAAATAACTATTGACATAACTAAAAAGACAAATTTTTGTTATCTGACCACTTTGAAATATCTATCATAACAGATATTTAAATTATATTGAACCTTCGTTAACTTTGTATGGCTTTAAACAATTAAAAAAAATATATATTTGCAAGTGTAATTATAAAAAAAAAACTTATCAAACATGTATGTGATTAAAATTAAGTAAGTAGTCATTGAGAACCAATTGAAGGTATTGGATGAATAATATTTTATGCATAGTGCACTGTTAACTATACTGACAATACCTATGTATATTATATATTTCAAAACAAAAACTAATTGGGTACTCAAGTGTTTTTTCTGTAAGTTACAGTCTTTGAAAAATTTGAATTAATAAAAAAAAAAATTATAGAGACATCATTATTATTGTTATTGTATTGTTTCATTTTTAAAATAAGGCCAATACCTACATATACCTACATAAATAATAAACACTTGATTATAATAGTTGTTATTATTTTTTATCTTAATATAATATATTCATAAAATTTAGTGGTAATTAAAGCGTACATATTATGTGTGCATACAATAATATAAATAATACCTATATACTATATAATGTTATAGCGTTGTTATCTATTGCATTGTACGTATATATTCATATGTACATACACATAATTTAAACCATTATGACAGATTATTTAAAATGTAGTATTGTACTGTATTATGGCATATTGTACTTACACTATTTATTATTTTGGTGAGCTGTATAACTTTTGTAATTTTATAATTTAGTACATGGAACACATTTAAACATAATTAAATTTAGTTAATTAAACTGGTTTTCAGAGTGTCTTACTGTGTTTGATTTTTAATGATCTGAACTAAACTTAAAACAAATGACATAATTGTATTACTTAATACTTACTGAATTATCAAAATAAATTTACATAAATTTGCTCTAAAAAATGGTGGTATATAAATCTTAATTAACACCAAAAAATGTATAGAATAAATGTGTATAAATGTGATAGCTTGATAAATTGATAAATTAAGTATCTAGTTAAAGAAAAAACGTATTAAGGGTTCAAACTCTTCAAACTTATTTATTGTAATTATATCACCCCTACATATTATATAGTATTTAGTAAAATGTATTTATCATTGACTTGTCTTTAATTATAAGGTTATTATTTTGTTCAGTTTTAAAATTATGAAAATTAAAATTTGAAATATATGGCAATAATGTGTTCATTATATCTATACTCTGCTCCAGATGAGAACTTTACCGTTTTAGGCATGTCGATTGATGACAGCGATCGGTCTGGGGGTCACTGTGATGTTCTCTCCTATTTGTAGGAGTATTTGTAGTTCTATTGATTGAATTTAATGTAGTTCTTGTGTTCTAATAATTGTGTACCTAAATTTCTTAATATTTTCCTAACTTTTTAATTATAAGTTATATAGGTAATTCAATTAAATATATTGACTAAAATATTTGTTTGTATTTTATAGCAAGCTGAATATAAGACGTGTGCTTAGGCACATTACAAAGTTAACAACAGGCGCAACAGTGGCTACCGCGGCAGCAAGCAAATGTTTACACCACAACACCAACAGCTGTCGCCTAATCGGGCGTCAATCAACATGCAGTCGCCACAAGCCAGTAACCTATCGAGAGGTATATTTCAGAGAGGCGGGTTTGCGACCAACCCCGGAGCAGACAGGCGAAATCATATGCCGGGTATCGCATCACTCATGCAAGAATGGTTTGTCACAAATCCTAGAAAAAAACAAATGTATATGTACTATAGTTTGACATGTATACATAATTTAATAAAGGAGTTCAACATCATTGGCGAATAACGCAATGAATAACTATGGTGGGTCAAGTTCTAGTAGCAGTCGATCTACGTCTGGCTACAACTTGTCATCCCAGCATGGTTTTCATTCGGCATTTGGCGGCAACCATGTTGACAATGGCAATGCAGCACCTCCTATACTGGACCCGTCGGAGTTTCCTTCTCTCACCACTGGACGTATATCCGGCAGTGGGCAAGGAGACAATGTCGGTGTTCTACATTCCAGCACAATGCCTGCAGGAAAACCTTATGGTAAACATTCACCATTCAAATCATTTGATCAGCTGTTTAGTAGTGAGTTAAAATCGTTCTGTATTTGTGTGTTAACTTAGTGGTACAATTGTATAAACTATTAAGGGACACACAATCTTGTATCATGCACTTTTAAACCATATTAATTGTGCATTACTATTATAGTGGGAATGGTGAAAGCACCGACGTCCGAAACGAGCGAATTTACAATGAGTAGTAAAGACTTCCCAGCATTGCCTGGTACGCAACCTCTCAGTGTTACAACTACCTCGTCTACGACAACGGATCCAAACCAACAGTCCTCAACAACAACTTCTGGCTCGACGACCATTTCATTAGATCAGAATGGAATGCAATCGTCTACTGACCATCTGTCAGATCAGAGACTGAACAACCTGAATAGCCAATCGGACAATAATTCTCAAGAAAATGGAGACTCGGGAACCAAAAAAGGAGTGCAAACATCACCTGATGGTTTGTGTTTCAAATGGATTGTGTTGTTCATCAAACTTAATTTTAATTTTAATATAGGTAAAGTGACTAACATACCTGGTAGTATGGTACGTGATCAATTTGGTATTGTTGGTCTATTGACATTCATCAGGGCAGCAGAATCAGATCCCAACTTGGTATCATTGGCTCTTGGACAAGATTTAACTGCGCTAGGGCTGAATTTGAACTCACCTGAAAACATTTACCCAACTTTTGCTGGCCCTTGGGCAGATTCCCCATGTCGGCCGCAAGACGTTGAATTCCATGGACCTCCTGAGTACATTATTAATCATGGAATCAGGTAAAAAAATTAAATATAACAATAATTATATTTTTTTGTTACCTAATGTTGTTTATTTTACACTTTAGGGATAAGTTAGCCCAAGTCAAGTTGTCCAGGTATAAAGAAGACCTGTTGTTCTACCTCTTTTACACTAATTATGGTGATGCGATACAATTGGCAGCGGCTAATGAATTGTAACTGAATTTTTATACGGTTCATTCCTCACAAAGTGATGATATTAATATACAGTTTAAATTTGTATAGGTACTCTCGAGACTGGCGTTATCACATGGAAGAGCGCGTATGGATTACGCAAGCGCCTGGATTGAGTTTAATAGAAAAAACTAGTACATATGAACGGGGCACGTATTATGTATTTGATGCGCTCACGTGGCGCAAAGTGCCCAAGGAATTTCTGTTGGAGTACAGCAAGTTGGAAGGTCGACCCACCGTACCAAATGTGCCGCTCACCACCCCTAATCTACTCTGACACAACGAGCACCGTCGGGGCGTAGACGCACTGCCAACAGCGACCGAACCTGACGTACACCAGCCCACGACGGTCGTTCTCAATGCAGCCATCGTCAACTCCTAAAAACCCCTTCTCACTCCCAGAACCCCAAGTATATATGAAATACCTACAGAACAATACTTTCTGCCCCTTTCCCCCCACAATACACTCCTATGAAATGAAATAAAAATTATACAAGTATTTATAATAACCGATAGATTTGCTGTCATTTTTTCTGGTGAATACACTCACACCATAATAATTTAACATTTATTATAAATAAAACAAAGTTATTTATAGTCATTTTATAAAAGAAACTTACGTACAATTTTGTAAAGACAAAATAAGCAAAGATTAAAAAAAAAATCATTCTTCATTTATTAAGATTATGTTATTTGTTTTTAAGTTGATAAATAAAATTTTGAAACAATAAATAATTGTTTTTGTTTATATTTTTCCCTTTTCTAAAAATATTGAATGGTTTAAAAAAATATTACACACACTCAGAACCAATTGAAACACAATATTAAAAAGCCAAATGTTTATTACATAAGTATTTCATTAACTATGAATTAAACAGCAAAAAAATAATTAAAATAAATCTGCAGTTACATTTTGTTAAACATTTTTATTTCTCAGGTTTTACAAGAGTTCAGGTAAATATTTCCTGATGATTCCGTCTCTGCATGCAGTGTATAAAAACCTTGTATCTGTACTGACATCATAGATTGGTTCAGCGTTGGTACCAGTCAAATATGCTTTCTTGCCATTAACCGACCGTATTACGCACGAACCATCACCATGTCCGCAAACCACTAGTTCTTTAAACAAACAGAGACAACGGACTGGCGAATTGGTATCAAATATACAGTGTTTGATTACTAGTTGATCGTCTAGCCACATAACACGTCCGTCATTGCATCCAACATAAATTTGTGCATCTTCATTCAAATGACAAGCATTTATTGGGCAGTCTAAATTGTTTGTAGCAAGTATCTTGCGGGCATAAACTCCGATCAACGACAGGATTCCATTTTCACAGCCAATTAAAAGGCATTTATCATCTGTCCCAATTTCTATGTCAGCTGCAACAATAAATACACAAAATTGTATCCTAAAAATCCCTTCAATCTTATCAACCATCTATTTTATAAATGTTTATGATCAATATATTGATCTAAAAATTAACTTTGTAAACAATGAAGACTGAAAGTGTCTTGATTATGGAATTAATCTTCGACATTTATATTGATTGCTTAGGTAATTTCTAACAGTGCTCTTAAGTGGGAAAATGTTCAAACTAGAACACTGGCTAAATCTTAGGATGAGAGTCAGTTAGATTGAGCTCAGATTTGATGCGTTTTAAATAATACATTTTAGTAGGTAACTCAATATTGGTGAAATTGTCAATCCATCTTTGATATTGATGAAATATACGAAAACATATGTTTTCAAAATTGGAAACCTTAAGTATTTACTATTTATTAATTTTTATCAAAATTCTAGCTCTAATAATGGATGTGCACAACAATTGTCACAATTTTCAATTCTTTGTAGGTACTAGCTACTTTATTTATATTTACTAATATATTTGTTTATATGCATATTAACTGTTTGAAATATTTTATGTTATACCTATATTACAATCACTAATTATACTACTTACAAGCGGGTATATTTCGATCTCCTAGATTTAAACTTTTTGGTGAACTAATTGAACAACAATTTATGTATGTTGTAGGATTTAACTTAATGAGATCGTCTATTACTTTTCCACTCCCAACATGCCACAATTTTGATGTTCCATCTCTAATAAAATGTAAATTTAAAAATTAAAAATAATCACTTATTGTTACTGATTTTAATAATTGTATGTTTAAATACTTTGAAACCGATATTATATTTCGTCCTCTGTCTATAATTGCTAAATCAGTAACAGCTTTTGTATGCCCAACTAGTGTTCCAGCACATTCTCCAGTGTCAGCACTCCAAATTTTGATACGTAAATCGGCCCCACAACTTAATACAACCTTTACACTAGGAAACCAACGACAACAATAAATGTCACCATAATGTCCTGTCATTGTAATCTATAATCACATATTAGTAACAATTAACAATGTTAGGATATTAGGAAAAAGTCTAACAATATGATAGTTGTTTTCTCAAACGTTTTTGCCCAGATTATTTTCCAATATCCAAACATTAACGTTTTTTAGAATTTAAATAATTTTTATGTAGCCTTACTTCTTTTTCTTTCTCGTGATCTAAGCTACTCCAAGACTTCAAAACACTATCAGAGGCAGACACACACTGGCCGCCAACCACATCTAATGATGTCACCTAAAATAAAACTAATGGTTTTAGTGTAAAATCTTTTATTAGAAGCAAGCAAATTGTACTTACGCTAGCATTATGAACATCTTTGAAAACCCTGTAAGGTGATAACAATGTGACCGATGGACAGGACAAATGCTTTACTTGAATGGCATGTGACGATACAGATTCAACTTCAAACCCATTCGTCCCTTGTATAATGGGTATTCCATTGAGCTTATGTGACTTGCATTGTAAATGACCATGTGTACTAGGACCATCTTAAGAGTTACATACAAATAAAATGCTGTGTTTGTATATTATTCTTCTTAACAAAAGTATAATTGTTTGTTAGAGAGTAAGGAATAGAATGAAATATAATGTATGGTGTAAAATGCAATAAATAAGTATTATATTTACTTCTTGGCTTGACAGATATCCAAACACGGTTTTCGACGGATCTAAAATTAACAAAAGTATAACCAAAGGTATTGCCGACATATTTTTTATTTTAAAATTCACCTGATGCATTCATCCCAATCATGTTGAATATACACAGAGTACTCATTCATAATTGAGCAACCACTTGAAAATTGTCTGAAATAAATATTTGTGATTATAATTGATTATAGAAATACCAAACTCTCAGTTGTTGTGAAAAACAAAATAATGTAAAAATACCACATACAGTGCATAGTAAAGTACAGGCCCGGATAGAGCCGGCGAGTTACCGAGTTGAACTCGGTGGACCGGCTTAGTTGTTATATTTATTATTAATCTATGTCAACATTACTGCTTAATATAATATGTATAATTTATATTGTATGATATAATATGATGTTATTGTTAAAATATGGATACCTATTAATGACTTTATCTTATTGAAAAATGGGCCGTTAACTTTTTTAGGGCTGGTTAAAATCGTAAAACTCGGTGGGCCGGTACCTTGCCTATCAGGTGCTGGTAAAGTATCAAACGCAATTAAAATTGATTGGTTCAGACGGTCAAAATTATTAGTATTATTATTATTTATTTAAATAAAAACAAGAAAAAATTAAAGATTTCTTCTATGGCCAAAAAAATATAGAAAACAAATGTTAACAAAAAAACTGATTATTACATCTTTACACAACATGTAAGTTAACGTCAAAAGAAATTATACTCAAACTCTCGAATTATCAATATACAGTATTTATAACTACCTACCAAGTGTATTATTCAATACATTTTTTATATTACAGTAGAACATTGTACTAAAACTTGATTTGTATAGTTCGAGAAATATTACCTAATTACCTTAATAATGATCACTCGGGCAGTGGTTCTAGAGTCAACTCAATTTCTTAAATAATTTGAACAGATTTGTGTAACGTGTAGTCTATACTTTTGAACTTAGCACTTTCAGAAAAAAATAAACTATTAATAAATAAGCAATAACAATTGTCAAAATGTCAATTTCCGTTTGAAAATTAATATTTTTTTATCAATTGTTATGTTATTGTTGTTAACTGCATTTCAGATATTTCACTGACAACTGATAAGGAAATCACAATTCATCAATATTTATTATTTTCTATGAGTTATTTTTTATTAACTCGCTAGTCGTGAAGTTAGAATATTATTTAATATTGACAATGTTATATTGTTTAATGTATTCATATTTCACACCTAACTAATTTGAATAATGACTTAATAAGGAGTTAGGTGGTGGGTTCGAAAGTTTAAATGTTAAATATCATGACTTGTGTAATGCATTTGAATTAAGAAGACGTCGTACATACATGAGCAGATGTGCATTTGCCTGCGTCTTACTAACGCATAATACACCAAAATGTACTTGCAGCAGTTCCAATTTTGTTACCTTAAATATTTGAGTGACTTGACCTATTATCAAATTTAAAAGTAAGAACATTATCTGTGCGTATAGTTTGTTTTTTATGATATTTTGATTTTTAAGTTTTTATGAACATGAATATTGAATATATATTTAAAGATGCTCATAATTCACTTAGAAATTAAAATATCGTAACAACTAACGAGAGAACTCTGATAATGTCCTTACTTTTCAATTTGATAATAGGTAAATTCACTCAAATAGTCGTGCTAACGATACGAAGTTGGAACTACCAGACATACATGTTGGTGTATCATGTGTTAGTAAGATGAAGGCAATATATGTGGGTACTGCGATCTCTAAAGGATTTATGTTTTATGACTATCTTACATGTTCCAACAGTCAAAACTCATAAATAATAATTTTAAATGGTTCAATATTAATTAGTTCCATACAGATACATGGCATATTGCATTCTTGCTAAATAACACAAATATTAAACATGTAATCAAAATCAACCACTTTTAACCCTTGGATAGTCATGTATGATGTAGTAAATTATGCACTTAACTGTTTAATTGTTTAGTGAGTGTTATTTTTTGTTAAGTATTGTAATTTGTAGTTGGGTCTTCTTTATATTCTGTACTTGGAGTATTTTTATATTTATATTTTCATTATTTCAACAATAGTCATCAAAATGGTAAAATAAAAAATATGTATGTACTATATTATTATAATTTAAAATTTTTAAACTTTACTAGTTAATAACAGTTTGTAATATAAGTATCTGTAACAAAACAAAAACCAGATAGATGTAAAAATATACTTATAATTTCCAGGTACAGTTTACTAATTAATCTTTTACACAAACAACAAACAATAATGATTAATGGTAGTACATTAACTAAATTTTTTAAACATTTTAAACTTCAACAATAATAAAAGTATAACATTAGTTCTTAATAAACGGTTAATGAATTTTCAAACAACAGACTTAAATCTTCTTCTGATTGTTCTCTTGGAGCAAGCTTTGTAATTCTATGCTGTGGTAATGTACCTTTCACTAACCCTGGTATGTCATCTTTAGTATAACCAAGAGCTGACAAACCGTTATCGATTTTCATGTCCTGCATGTATCCTCGAATGACATCAGCTAATAGTTTCCCGGCATCAGCATTTTTAACACCACTGACATCAGCACCTAGCAGTTTAGCACCTTCAATGTGGCGTTCTGGACTAGCCGGAGATGTGAATTCAAACACTGCTGGCCCAGACATAATGACACTTAACCCATGAGGAATAATTGGATGATCGGTAATGTAATCAGTGGCTTGATATTGTTTTACATTTCCAGAGATTGGATACGACAATGCATGGCATAAATGGACACCTGCATTACCAAAACCTACACCAGCCATTGTAGAGGCTAAGTGCATGCTAGAACGTGCTTCGAAGTCTTCAGGGTCGTACACGGCCCTTTTGAAGTACTTCCTAATGACATCCAATGCATACCGAGCCCAAACATCTGAAATAGGATTACGACCCTGGTATGCAGGTCTTAAAATTGGATTGGTAGGACGTGGGGACCTTTCATTGTATGGTACAGCTGTGAATGATTCTAATGCATGGCCAAATACGTCAAAACCGCTAAAAGCACAAACTCTTTCTGGCTGACTTAATGCATGCAAGGGATCAACAATACCTAAAGTAGGTCTTAATGCTCGATTTGCAATACCAGTTTTGGCCTTCAACTTTTCATAATCAAAAATACAAACTCCAGTTGTCTCACTTCCAGTACCAGTGGTGGTCGGCACAGCAATCAGCGGCTTCAATGGCACAGTCACTGGTTTTCCTTTCCCAATAGGAGGATTCACATAATCCAACAACTCAGCTTCTGGATCAGAATAGTACAAGTTGGCTGCCTTACAGGTGTCCATGACAGAACCACCTCCTACCGCTATGAATGCATCAAACTCCAAATTACGCACAAAGTTGGTCGCGGCTTCAAGACTTTTCTCGTTAGGCTCCACTCTGATTTTATCATAAAGATCATATTTTATACCGTTTTTGGTGAGAGAGTCCAGGACAGCCTTTACTGGCGGCAAGTTCACTAAGTTCGAATCAGTCATGACACACACACGCTTAGCTTGCATATTAACCATGTCCATACCAAGCTCTTTGGTGACTCCAGGGCCGTACCGAATAGTAGAGCATGCCATTTCAAAAGCATACTCCTTTTGATCCACACTGGTACTGAGCCTTGATGGTAGAGCCCCTAAATTTGAATGAGAGGGACATCTGCACGATACTGAATTCAATGTATCCATCAAGGTAATGACTCTGGACCTCATTCTGGCGTTTCTATGAAAAAAAAAAAAATGGTTGAAAATAACGTAACTATAAAAATTGCAAGCAGAACATTTTGATATAACTTACCTTTAATTCTTACCGATACAAATTTTAACCAATTCGTAGATGGTACTCTTCAGTTTCGAAACTGATCTCAGCGATTAATAGAATAAAAAACGTGTACAATACTATCAGTTGTACTGCGCTGTACCTATTAAAAAATAATAATATATTCAGTAATCACTGATGTAGACTGTAAGATCTGAAATAGCAAAATGTGAATTCTGAATGTCGTTGAAGAGCAGATCGCCGCAGTGGTGCAGTCACGACATTACGTTGAAAATGAAATAATTGATAACAATATCAATGTGATTCAACAGGTATTATATTAATAGTTTCGTTTTTTTTATTTTTACTAATGTAACCTAACCTATAAGGTGTAGTCAAATTGCTCCGTCTACGTCAAACTAATCAAACGATGTTATTAATTATAACCGTATAGCTAGTAGTTGTTGTAGTTATGGTATTTTATGAATTATCTGCGTTGATAGTGAAGAATCGCTGTCGAATAACAAATTACGGAAACATTTTCGTTTTTAAATAACACTACGTAATCTTGACGGTTATACACCCTGGTTATGTAGCTGGTACAAAATAATTTCCATAAAAGTATGAAGTTCCCGCATCGAAGACGTTTGACCGGTATTTTGCCTCATAATAATATGGGCATTTCACACGAACTACACTGTAGTATATAGCACTGTAGGTGGCATTGGTCATTAAGATAAACTTAATGGCTTATGAATGCCGTTTATCATTTAAATATTTCCGATAGGCCAACTCGTTCCGACATCAGCTCTATTACTGCTAACATAACGCTAATTAGGTACCCGCTGTTACGTCAAGTGGAATAAAAACAAAAATTCTATGCAAGAACGAAGAAATGTGTTTATTGTTGATTTTTATTATATGCACTTTTGACTTTTCGTTTTAATCAGTAGCTGCGCCGATTAAAAATAAACAATACAATTATAATACCTGTGGAACTAATTATTAGGTACCCGTTCAGTATTCTAGTTGCAATACTCAACACCTAATACCTATGATTTATAAATTATTATAGTGTAATATTGTATTTGTCATTATATGCGAATCTCAGGGAAAAAGCAAAATATGATAGGCATCTATTTACAATAGCAGCCAGTGGGTTTTAATTTAAAATTTGATGTTTCAGCGTAGGTACCTGTAGGTATATAGTAATAAATGAATAGAACTTAATGTAAATTGGCAAATATGTTGTAAATAAGTGTAAATGTATAGGTACATATTTTCCGTCTAAAATACACAATACATTATACCTAATGGGAAATTATTATTCCACTAGTTTTAAACATTTAGATAAATTTAAAAAAAAAAATTATGTAATAGGTTCCAAAAAGTAGGCGCATACTTATAATGTGATGACTTATAATGTATTGCAAAAGTGCAAAAAAACATTTAAACAATAAAATATATATATCTATATTTTAGTGTCTTAAGGATGAAAAAAATACAAAGTATCCAGCGTTGTTTTATCGTAATAATTATTTTTACAAACAATATTAAAAATCAAAAATATTTGTTTATTTCATTTGAAATCCGTGTATCAAACATCGACAAAAAAATAGTCTTTATATTATGTAGGTACCTATAACTAACTTTACTAGTTGTTGCTTTACTGTTGGCATCTATGTACATATCGGTTATTGCCTTATTAGTCTCTTCGTTTAATTTCAATTTAATGATTAATATAGATTATTATAGCGGTATGTACCTATTGGACTTTTGGTACCTACATATCATTACGACAAAATACCAGACGTATTTTGGACGAGGCTGAAAAATTGTGTGAGCATGCGGCTAATACAGTAAAACAACTATAAAAAAACAAAACCGTTAAAATAGGTAGGTACATACATAAATTATTATAATTTATAATAGATATGAGGTATACTTGTGGGATCGCGTATTCGTTATATTTCAAAAGGGTCTGAAGTGCAACTACGTGACGACTAGAAAAAAAAAAGTCTCTCGACACATTTTGTGAGTCTTTTCAAACGTGATCCCACGTGGCCACGTACCCATACATATAATTAAGTATGGCCTTATAGGTGCCTATTTTATTATTCATAAACTCGTGACACGGCTAAAAAAAATTCTAGAGCATATATAGGTACCCAATACCCTATTATTTAAATAGTGTTCGAAAAACAAACCAAGTACGCACATGTTTGATTGTTCGAGTTTCGAAATTACGGATGATCGATATCCCTCCATGTAAGTACTCAATGTCCTTATCATGACGATTGACGACTAACCTTTCGAATTGGTAGGTAAACCAAAAAATTATATAGTTCAACTTTGAAGGAGATTCTAAAAAAATACTATACCCATACTGCGGAGCAAGCAAAAAAAAAAGGTAGAAACAAAATTGTTTTAAACTACTTATAATTCTTTACATTATGTTCTATTGACTATATGACACATTGCTCTGTTGAACGTAATAATTTGTAAATATTAAATGAAGTGTTTGATGGTCAGAATGGCACGGCCAAGGACATAACGGGGGGGGGGGGTTGTGCCGTGGTGGTTAAATGTTAGCTAAGTGTTGTTTGTTGACATTTTTATTAAAAATAATTTTACATTTTCGTTAAAGCACTAATAATAGTAATAATAGAATAAAGAGTTTTATATTTTTAACATAAAATTGATGAGTACCAATGTATTATAAAAAATGTTGCTATGGGCATGGACCAGTTGCACCTAAAACAATATTTGTATTTTAGGTCAGTATACCAATTGCGCCGCTTAAATTTTAGGGCAGTACACCAATTGCGCTACTTATACTGTAGGTTCCTTATTTTTACATTGGCATATGTAAGTTATTACACGGCGGAAAAGGTTACATATGTATATACACAGTAAATGTGCAACTTTTAACCTTTATTTTAGTGCAAAAACAGTCGTTGGCGATTTTGAACAAGCGATTCATTTTGCTGTTAAAAAAGTTTGGCCTCCAATAACTCTGGTAGGTTGTAGGTTTCATTTCACACAAGCTTGGTGGAGGAATATCCAAAGATGTGGACTACAAGCTGAGTATAAAAACGCAGATTCTGAAATAGGAAAATGACTACATTTAATTTTTGGCTTGTCACTTTTTCCGCACTATGAAGTGGAGGATGTTTTTACAAATGAATTAATGACAATTCAGCCAGCGAATTCAAATGTTACTAAATTCACTGACTATATGTCGTTGGAAATGATATATCATCAACCTCTACATTCCCTCCCATACCGTGGGTATCGAATACAATAAGCTCTGAACGTACAACCAATGCAATAATGCATGTGAAAGTTTTCATCACATTTTTATTCCTCACATCCAAATATTTTTGTCTTTCTAAAAGCAATTATTATAGAAACACAAACCAACACTTATATTGCAATAAACAGTATTGAAGAAGATAAATATACATCATTTAAGCGAGCGTATTTAGTGAAGAAAGTGGCCATAGAATCTATTATTGAGAAATACAAATCCGGAAAAATTACTAGCAAAGAATTTTTAAAATCAGTTTCTCATTGTTACAGTAAAACATAAAAAACGTTAAATGAAAAACATAAATTGTAATTATATTTTTATGTATTTGTATGTATATTAATTATTTGTTATTGACATGTATATATGCGTATAATTTGGTATAGACTTATATTGTACAATTATTATTAATATTGACCCAAAAAAAGACAGAGAGCAATTGGCATATCGACCCAAAAAAGACATAGTGTAATTGATACCTACATTAAAAGGTAATTTTAAGCGCAATTGGTAAACTCCCGTTGTTATGGCCCTCCTGGATCCTCCACTATTTAGGTAGTTATAGTTATAATAACGTAATAAAGGTTGTAAAAATATTATGTATTTAAGGATTTATCACCACGAGTTCGGAGCTAATATAATATGATAAGAGATAATAATACGTAATTATTAATTTGATCTCTGTACATTTTAATACCATTTTTTTTTTAGACTACAGCTATTATTACATAGATTTAAATTTATAATATATTATCAATAATCAATGTATAATTATAATTTAAAAAAGCATGTACGAAATACAAAAACGATTACCTATTTCATATTTCGGATGGCATTTTCGAGGCGTAGGTCGTGGGTACAATAGTCAGTATAGTCACTATTCAATAATGACAAAATCTACAATTTAATATATTTCGTGATTATTGCTCGTTTCTATTGATAATTTAAAGCGCACTTAAGTATACCTACGATGTATCGGGCGGGTACCAATACAATAATTTGTTTGAATTGAGCGATTTAAATTCACATATAAATCAATAATCCTAGGAAGCCGTTGGACGAGGTATTATATGGACGCATAGGTTCTGATCTCTGTAGGTAACTTACCAATATGGTTATAGGTGTAATAATAAAATATTTACACACCGCCTGTATGGCGTCTAGTGTCTACCTATCTATGGCTGTATATTATGTAATGACACATGGGTACATTATGTTTTTCAGCGATATCCTCGCGGCTCGCATATACATATATAGGTACCTGATACCCGACCATAATGGCTATACTAATTATCACTAATCAGTAATTACTTATGCAACTATATAGTCACTATACATACAAACATAAATCTAGGAAATATATAATACATATTACATCATGATATATTGATATGTAATATCATATGATCATAAAATATAATAAGTAGACAAGTAGTTGAGAAATCAATGATGACGATAATATATATTATAATGTCCACTTGACATATCAAGAGCAACTCGTATAATCGTACAGGTTATATAGGTAACTATCATGGGCGTAGGTAGGAAATATTTTCGGAGGGGGTTTTCGTCTAAATCCTAAATAATATGCGAGTGAATAATATTCTCGAACAAATTCACAAAAAGCTCAAGATTGTTTTATTTAATTTCGGGGGGTGTTCGAACACCCAAAACCCCCCCTTACCTACGCCCATGGTACCTATATATAAACATAACGTATTACTATTTATTATTATATAGATTCGTATGTAGATTATATATGAACCGTCGTCCATATAAATGTGCTTTGTAGACGACTGTATCAAACTAGTTTTTTTTACACTCATCGGTTTAATAGACAATTATTAGAAATTTAGAACGTTTATATCACACGTTCGCGTTACGACGTGAGGACGCATCCCAGTAAACTATATAATATATAGGAATTAGAAGTACAATATACAGCTGGTACCTATTAGAATTGTTATTATATAAAATATATATATTTTACGATGATACGCCAAAACGTACGGGTATATAGTATGTATATTCGATTTCGACTTTTCAGTTGAGCCTACCCATTTTCGTATATGGGTACTTTCAGCTCATCATCACCCTACTCTTTTAATGTGGGTAGGTTGTGAGCAGCGGCCTGTGCAGTGATCACTTGGTTTCCACGGTTATACAGGTACATCGGCTCATCGCTGCAGCAGTACCTATATATATATAGTCACTTGTGGGTAAACTTAACTTGAACATGAGGTGTAGTATAGACGTATATAGTATTATACGGTACTAAAGTATTATTATATGCCTTCCTATAAATTATGATTTATATATTTAGGTCTGGGC